TTTATTTATTTATTTATTTATTTTTTTATTTTTTTTTTATTTATTTATTTATTTATTTATTTTTTTATTTATTATTTATTTGGACGTTGACGTATTTCCTTGATGAACTTGATTATATCTACAAATTAAAAATTAAAAATTAAAAAAAGAAATTATTCCACATGATAGAAAAAAGACACAAATTATGAGGAAAATGGACAATAGAGGAGCAGGTTGAAAATACATTTTTAGGGAAGAGAAACAGAGGAAAGTCTGAGATTTCCCCAGTGAATGAGATCATTTGCAATAAAGAAAGCCAAGAATGATCCCTGTATTATATAAAATATTAAACAATATAAATATAAAAGATTAAACAACAACTCATAACATCAAACTATTAGACTTAGAATTAGACTTCCTGTATTGTCATTTTAAAAAGCCTCATACTGAATATCATAATGAAATGATATTCAGTGCTTGGCTACCAGCCATAGCAAGGTCTGTGTATCGGTTACGTAATAAATAGTGTGGGTGATTAGAAAAAATATGTATATAAATATAACTATATATAGAAAAGAGCTGAGAAAAAAGGTGATTTTTTTTAGAAAATAGTTAAAACTATTAAGACTATTAGGATGGCATAAAGCTAGAATAATATCCATCCATCCATTTTCTACACAGCTCATTCCCAATAGGGTCGTGGGGGCCTGACAGGCCAGGGCTAAAATAATATTATGATATGATTATTTGATTTTTCCCACATGTCAGTAAACACATGACCTGTCACATGACTTGCTGCTAGAGGTGAATTCTCAGCTCTGTGCTGTTTTTATTGGCTCCCTACACAGTTGGACTCGTTTAACAAGTCACCGTCTGAAGCAGAAAGAGATTTCCTTCTATCCATAACTCTGGAATTCAGTCAGTAATGGGAGCATTTGAGGGAGGATGACCCAGTGATGATCTGTTGTGATATTATGTTTGTCAGACCTTTACTGATAAACCAATCCTGACCGACTCTGGGAAGTTGTAGCATTTGAAATGAGCAAGTCGGAGGAAAAAGAGGACAGTGCTTCTGCCTCTGAAGCAGCTCTGTCTGCGAAAAACCACAAACAGACCTGGCCCGACAGGTAAGAGAGGGATTTTATTTTACTGTATTGTCCTCAGACCCAGAGTCTTTCTTTACAAATGAATCCATGTGTCCTGTTTTTCTTAAAGCCAAGTGGAATGGGAGAAGAACGCCTCAACCGGACAGCTCAGTGACTGGTCAAAAGATGAACCAAACAGATTCATAGATGGAGGTCAACAAAAGTGAGAATGTTAATCTTAAGTGTGTTATGAAAATGGAAAATCTTCTTCAGTTAAATTCATAGTAATAATATTAAAATAATTTATTTAAAAGCACTTTTCTATATCTTCTTCAGTTAAATTCTCAAGCAATTATAACACGTTTTGTTCATGAGAGTTTTTTAAAATAAAATGTAAAATGTTTGTTTTGTGTTGAAGAAAAGTGGAGATTGTTCCAGACCCCCCTTTACCCAGGAAAGAGACCCTGAGGAGTGACTGGTCAAAACTTCATCCAATTAATTTCAACGATGGAAAATCTTCAGGTCAAAAGTGAGAATTTTAATCTGAAGTGTGTTGTGACAACGGGAAATTGTTCTTCAGTTAAATTCTAAAGCAGTAATACTTGTTACACATTTTATTTAAAAGTGGTTTTCCACATCAATTTTCAAATGTTTGTGTCGTGTTGAAGAAAAGTGGAAGTTTTCCCAGAACCCCCTTTGCCCAGGAAAGAGACCCTGATGAGCGACTGGTCAATACTTCATCCAATGAATTTCATCTATGGAGAATCTTCAGGTCAAAAGTGAGAATTTAAGTGTGTTATGAAAATGGGAAAATGTATTTCAGTTAAATTCT